ACGTTGGTTGAGAGGTTGCTTGGAGCTGGGGATGTGTCGCCACTGGTGTCTCCTCAAGCTGGCTGGGGGAGGGCTCACTCTCCAGTCAGGAGGGAAGGTAGAACATGGACTGGTGAGATCACACGGCAGGAGCGGCCCTCGTGCCAAGGGACCAGCACCAGCGGGAGTCAGAAAATGGAAAACCCCACGGAAGGCCCAGCTTTCTGGAGGCTGGCGGCCGAGGTTGCCCCCTAGTGGCTGAAGTTCGAGCGTCCCGGGGACTAAATGCGACCTTCCTGCCTTGGGACCTGAGGGCTCCTCCGACGATAGGGGCCTGGCAGGCTGCGGGGCCCCAGTGTGAGGCTGGGGGCTGGGGGCCAAAGTCTAATAGTCACAGTGAGAAAACTGAAGGCTAGGGGCTGATGGTGGTGGACTGTGTTCAAGGGCCAGGGGGGTGAAGGAGCCAATCCTCAGGAATTATACTTAACACATCAGTAATAATCGTTTATGGATGATCTGTGTTTGAGTTGGTGCTAAGGACCTTGCATTTATTTTCCTAATTCTTCATAACAACCCTACTCATTAGATAATCATTATTTCCACATTTACAGATGAAAGGCAAAGAATCCAGTATCACCATTACCATGTGTGTGGCAGTTAACAGTTATGTAATACTTAGAGCAACACAGGCACTTTACAAACCTCATTTCATGGAATCTTCACACTTATTTTAGGAGGTAGGCTTTATTATTCTTATTTTCATTATTTCCATTATATCATTGAGAAAACTGAGCTTTAGAGAGGGTGTGTATCAGCTAGCTTCCACAATGTGGTAAAGCATCCCCAAATTTAGTGGCTTGGGACAACCCTAATTTAATTTTTAAGGCAGTGTGTTGGCAATTTGGGCAGGGTTCTGCTGGGTGGTTCTTCCGGTCTTAGCTGGTCTAGTGAGAACATTGTGCATCTACGGTCAGATGCTGGTCAGTAGGCAGCTCTGCTTTAGGGGATTGGTTGGTTGTGGGCTGGGGTAATGGTGGAGACTGGTCCACATATGTCTCATCATCCAACAGGCTAGCCTGGGCTTGTGGCTGGGCAGGGGTGAGAGAGACAGAGAGAGGAAACATGTAAGATTTCTTGGAGCCCATGCTCAAAATTGCAACAGTGTCACCTCTACTGTTTATTGGCCAAATCAGGTCCATAACTAGCCCAAAATCAAGGGATGGGGGAATATAGACTACTGATGGGAGGGTCTGTGAAGTCACAGAGCAACGAGTTAGTGTAGATACAGGGAGAGGGGACAACTGGAGCCATTTTTTTCAGTATCACTGGGTGGATAAGGGCAACAGGTCTGGGTGGGGTGGTGTTCTCAGGCAGGAAGGACAGAATGTGCAAAGTCCCCCAAAGACTTCTAGGCAGGAAAGTAGGCTAGTATGCCTGGAATTCAGGAGGAGGATGGTAGGGGAATGAGAGAGGAGTGCTGTTCTGACCAATCCTCACAGCAACCCTTGAAGCAAGAACTGTGGTTACCTCCCCTCTGTGGGAAACTGTGGCATGGTGTGGGTGGACAATAACCTACATCATATAGCTGGAAGCAACAGGGCCAGGATTCCAGCCCAGGGCGTCCAGCTATGAAGCCCATGTCCCGAATCACTTGCCACACTGCTGGTACCACAACAGGTGGAAGAAAGAACATGGGAAGGAAGGGTTCTGGTGCAGAGTGAGGGCTGAGAGCCCCAACTCCTTTCCTTAGAGGCCTGGAGATCATAAGGTAGAGATTCCTTGTCACACCCTATTTGCCCAAGAGTAGGACAGCTTGTTTCTGCTGGGATGTGGGAAGGAAGCTAGCTTTTCTGACTCTGTAACTCTATAAATGTGTGCACAATAGTGTCAAGTGTGTTCACTATGATACTTTTGTTTTTAAGCAACTATAACTGATTCCATCTAGCTCAACTTTAAAATGAAGTATTTCTTAGGCAAGTGCTGGAATAGCTCACAGAATCAGTGTTAGGAAGGGTGAGAGCTAGACAAGCCCCTGGGACCTCAGTGGCAGGAGTCTGTGGGCTCACTTTCTGGTTTACTGTCAGCCAAATGGCTCAGTTCTAAAGACTACTCAACACTATGTCTTTTTGTTTATGTCCTGACTTGCCATGCGAATTTGGCAAAACTTGAGTTACCAAGTTATGCTTTCACATTGGGCAAATAGGATGTGTTCTGGGGAACAGAGACATGAGTGTAGGCAAGGCCACCAGCAGAATCACCATGAGCCACCCAAATCAGAGTCCGCACAGCAGTGGGATTCATCCTAAGCACCACCACCTCCATCCATCTGGACAGTTTCAAGGACACATCTCTTCCCAAGGAAAGGACTATAGCCTACCTCTTCCAGGGACCCTAAAGTTCCAGGGATTCTGACCAAACTCACATCCTGAAACTTTGCTGCAGACACAAATTCTCAGAAAGGGCATTTGAAAATGGTTTTACTAATTGCATTTATTTATTAATTGCACTTTTTGAGTCCAGCAAATAGTTTTCATTAAATTGTAACAACTGAAGACAGATGACATCTTTAAGCTCAAGCACTTTTTCCATGCAAACATGCAATAGTGCTTTTCAATCCTGACTTCCTAAATGATCAGGTTATAAAATATTTATTAGTGGTTCAAAGGCATCACTTTTGTGGATTTATTATCTTCTTTAAGATAGATGTCAGGGCCAGCAGCTCTATTTAGTTGAGTTCACAGCATGATATTCAAAGATGCTTCCTTGTATTTGGTGAGGGGTGAAGCTGGGCTTAGCAGGTGGCCAGATCCTCTTCTGAGCTTGATGTGTGATTTGCCCCAGCACTGAAAAAGCCACTTGCACAGATTAAGCGAAATCCTTAGTTTTCAAAAACGAATCAGCTACTTAAATTTCCAGATGGAACCTTCTTATACATGGGCACAGTTGGCTTCTATGTAAATATTTTATAACACCAATCATTCTGGCTCTTGACATAAATATAATTTATGTGGAAATGCAATTTATTAGGTGAGTATTTAGGTTGGGAATTTAAGACCCAGATACTCAACAGGCCTGGATTTTCCACCAATCAATTCATGATATGACCTTGGACAAGCACCTCAGCATCTCTATACTTTGTTTATTTCAGTACCTCCAACTGAAATTGAAAAATATCTGTCAGGAATGTGTTCAGCCAAAATAATGGAAAAATAAGGGGTTTATTTTGCTAGTGTGACCAATCAAGAGGCAGGGAGTCAAGAGTTGGGATGTTATTTGGCATCAAGTCTCCTTCTCTGGTCCTTGATCAGCCTGTGGCTTTTGTTCTGATAGTGGAAAGATGGCTGTTGTACAAAGGAAGAAGATGGTAAGGGAGGATTCCCAGAGGCCCAGAGCCCTCCTCTGAGCTCCCAGGGGTGTTGGGCAGTGCAGAGACTCTTCCCTGATGACACCATCCATCCTTCCTAGGTTTCCTGGAGCAGAGCTGTGGCAGTCCCCCTCCCTTTATGGCTCTTCCCTACAACACGGTGCAAGATCACTTCCTCACTCTTGCCCCATCGGCAAACTCCGAGCAGGTCACCTGCGGTGACTTGAGGGAAATGGAGCAGGAGCCAACTGTCCCCAGCTCTCAGGAGCAAGCAACATGGATCAACTGGGTCCTGCAGAAGGAGCAACACTGTAAATAGCCAAACACACAGTGTTGGGAGCCAGATTGCTGCCTTTGCATCACGCCTTTTCACTTCCTGGCTATGTGACCTGCAAGCTGATTGCTCTACATCTCAGTTTCTTCATCTGTAAAATGGGCAGTATTAATAGTATCTATGTCATAGGGCTGTTTTGAGAATTTCCGTATGTAAAGCATTGAGCATGATGCCCACCTCATTGCTCACATCTGTGCATGCTGAGGTCAGCTCCTGAGGGTCTGCTGTTTCAGACATCCTTGTGATTAATTTGCTTTTATAGATTCATTCTTTTGAATCTTGAAAGGCAAGTCTCCTTGGGTTGTTCTTAAGTTACTATTTATTTTAAATGAATCCTATATTTATCAGTTAATGCCTTGGTCTCTGCTGTTAAAGCAGAGCAAGAAAAATAATGGCTAATATCTCAGCTCTTCCTCTTCTGCCTTTCTAAAATACAGATTAACAGGATAGTGTGACCTTTGCCTCTTGGATCTGTCAGTAAGGTGGCCCTCGGAATAGTCGACTTAGGAGGGATGGGTTAGTAAAGAGTGAAGATCACTTTGTTTTCTTTACATTTGAGGCTAAGCCTGCAGGCTTTAAATCCACTATCTTCTTTGGCGTCAAGTCTTTCCATACCTACATTTCAGTCATGCATGTATATGCTTGCATATTGGGGGAATGTGTTTCTCAGAGATCCTGGCGGGCTCCAGGGGGACCACCTTCCACGTGCTGCTTTTAGTCCTGTCTCAGCCTGCAGTCCCTGCCCTTAGGACACTGCCAGGGACGAAAGCTGGGGGTTCCAGCCCCGCCTCTGCCATTGCCTCAGGCCAGGAGGTTTGGGTAAGTCACTCCCCCATCTGGGCCTTCATTTCCCTTTCTGAGAGATGATCTCTAGAGTCCCTTCCAGCTTTACAGTTTCCTAATATTTATTGAAAGATGTGTTTGGACTTTGGAAACACAGCACACTTGGGAGATCTTCTGAAGTTTTCCTTTTGAGGATTGCCTTAGTTTACAGGGCATCTTCTTGCTGCAGAATCCTATCAAGGAAGCAAAGACTGAAGTTCCTTTTCCTTCCTCAAATGTGATGCTTAAGTAAAATTCTGTTTCACGGAGTAGAAACACGGAGGAGTAGAAATGGATAGGGATTCTCCTGTTGGAGCAGTCCCAGAGGAGGCTGTAAGCAGCAGGATATCCCTTCAACCAGATGGGCCGCAGAGCTCAGAGAGCCAAGCAGTCAGAGGATAGGGAAATCAGCGGCAGAAATGAGGAAAGGCTGGTTGTTGTGACGGTGGTTTATTCTCACAGCTGAAGATAGTTGCCTGGAGGCCAGGAGAAGGGGGAGGAGATAAGCACGCTTGGAGGCTCTCAAACACTAGCTGGCAGGCTCTGACATTCCAAGTCACAGTTCAGGTCTGATGGGAAACCGGTCCAGTGAGCTGACTGGATGAGAGCAGAGCCAACCTCAGGGAATGCTGTGACGGGGCAGGGTAAGCTGCTACTCCATCCCCTTCTGGTGGCTTGGCTTCATTTCTCTGGTGCAAAAGCCTCAGCTGTCCCTGGCTGTTCCTGCCCCCAGGCCCTTCCCTCCATGCCAGACCTGGGCCGGTCTTGATTTATCCAGTGACTTTGCTTTTGATTTTTTTTTCTGCCCCCTTTCTCCTCATTAATCTTGTTAATATTTTCCTCGGCAGATGGCATGGTAGGGTAGAAAGAATCACGGCCTTTGGACTCAGTCTTGGATAGCAATGTGGGTCCTTTGGCTTATAACAATGGGGACTTGGGTGAGTTACTTGATTTTCCTCAGCCTTAGTTTTCTTACCTCTGAGATGGGTGCAATTTGTAATATATAGCATTATTGAGAGAATCAGATGACATATAAAGTGTACCTCCAAAGAACCCCCCCAAGAAACGTTATTGCTTCTTTCCTGTCCCATCTTACCTTACCTGCCCATTAGAATCTGGGGAATTTAAAATATGTGCAGATGCCAGGGGGCCACCCCACCCCTCACTGGGAATCGTACTCTAAAAGCTCCTCGGGTGACTGTGTGAGACTCCCCCGGCCCTGAGGCGCTGCTGTTACTGTGCTCAGTGTTTCTTCTATTCCCATCCCACCGGACCTGACTCCCAAAGTCAAGCTGTCTCCCGTGTTCTAATCTGACAAATAGGGGATGACTCAGGTTGTGTGTGCTGGATTCCTCCCCTGTGTCCTGGATATTTGTTTTTGTTAGTGCCTTGACAGGAATAGGGCCATATTCTCTTCTGGCTCTAAAGTGAGGGGAGAGGGTGGATAAGATTTTCTGAAATGCTGTGGCAGAGATCACCGGCTGAGTAGGAGACATTCTCTGGGATGCTGGCTGAGCATCAGAAGGGTCAGGTAAGACTGGTGAGCTGGCTGGGCAGATTTCCTGTCCTTCCTCAGCAATGCTGAGGCAGGAAACCAGGCAGCCAGGCTGGGGCCACCTGGGTGAATTTAGAAATCAGGGGATTGGTGATTCCTAGGTGCTGTGGACAGCAGGCTGCACCTGTGAGGTGTGGTCTGGGAAGAGAGGCAGGTGTTCGTGAATGAAAATGGCCTCTGGGGTTACTCCTTTCCTTCTTGGTTACATCTCGCGAGAGACTGCTCGGGGTGGCTAGGTGGCTGGTGGTCATCAGCAGATACTCCTGCATAGCCCAGAGCTGCTGCCGCTCTCAGCCTGAGGGCCTTCTCCAACCACGAGAGCTTGGCCCTTGCCAGGTGGCAGCCTGGAAATATTGGGAAATTAATGGCATTGGTGCCACCTCACAGGAGGGACAGAAGATGGTGGGTGAACACACCAGCTTCCCTGCCCCTTGGGGGGACGGTCCTAAGGCATGCTCTGCAGTTTCTCAGGGTGTCTCCTGGGAGATTGGGCCCCAGATTCCCACAGTGACAGCACCCTCACCGTGAGCTCTTTGCTGAGTTTCCTCCCTTCCCTGTCTCCCCCACCACTCCCTCGATATCCTTCCTGGGATCACCTCACAAGTAAGCTACTTGGACCCCAATCCTTGTCTCAGGGTCTGCTTTTGAAGGAAAACATCTATCTTTCATCAGCCTTTTCTTATTCATAGGAGTTTTACGTCTCTGGTCACACACCCATCCTGTGAGGCTGATCTGTCAGTATTCTCTGAGGATACGTTGCAGAGCTCACCACTCCATGTCTTCATTGTTTTACACACATCCGTCCTTCTGGAGCCTTCGTGGGTAGGAAGAGGAAGGCAATCATGGCAAGCGCAGTGTTTTCCAATCTATGGGTTGTGATCCATGAGGGTGGCACAGCATCCATTTTTTAAAAATGAAAGGAAGTGGATATGACACATCAGAGTGTACCACACATTGTGAGGGTACATACTGTTAGGTGAAAATTTCATTTCAGTTGTATGTGAATATATTCACATGTTGGCAAAATATATTTCTTATCATGAATCAAGGTATAAAATGCTGGAAGCCACTGCAGGGGTGGGTCTCTGTGGTCTTTGTCTCCTCAGGATCTGTTCTTCCCTTTGCCTCCATAAACAGAGCCTCAGTCGTCCTTCCAGCAAGGAAAGGAGACAACGCCCGTGATAGCACCTAGTCTGGGTGGGACCGCTGATCAAGGGATTCCATCATTCCTCGGTCGGAAGATGGTCGCCCAGCTCAGCAGGCCATGAGACGATTGTCCCAGGGAACTTGGATGGAGAGAGGACACACACAGGGACTGAAACTAGTTGAACTCACTTCCTTCAACGGGGATACCTGGAAGTTAATATCCGTATTTTTTCCTGGTATCTAGATTTTTGAACCACCTTGATTTTTTTTTTCTCCCTTCCAAGATTTGGTCATTCAGCCGTTGGGTTGGTTCTGTGAAGTGTCTGCAGACCACTTTATTTGGTTACCCTTAGGTAAGTGAAGCTGTTTTCTGTTGCTAAAACCAAAGAGCCCTCCTATACCTGAGGGCTTTGTGGTTAATTTCAGTACTTTGTGCCTGTGTAACTGGAAATTTACTTAACTGTTCTGAGCTTCAGGCTTCTCTCTTGTAAAATGAGGAATGCTGGATAGGAGGGCATAGATCATATATATATGGCCGCTGGCTCTAGACCCTCAGTTAATGGCAGCTACTACTGGGGATCAAATTTTAATCATCTTTGTTTGCTAGTGATGTTCTTCCACTTATTAAATATCTGTGGAGTGAATGAATGAATCCACCTGACAATGTGGATTTTTCACAACTAAAATCCACACCTGAATTTATTAGATATTGTTTTGAAATAGCCTTGGCTATTGAACATGTGATTTATTGCTCATAAACTTAATATGAGAAAAATCTTCATTACCTGGAGGTAGGCATAGAGTTCTTCCTAATGATACCAAAAGCATAATCTATAAAAGAAAAATTGATAAATTTGGATATCATTGAAATGTTAAGAGAATAAAAAGACAATGTAGAGACTGGGAGAAAATATTTTGCAAATCACGTATCCAACAAAGGGCTAGTATCTAGAATATATAAAACTTTTAAAGCATATAACCTAACTTAAAAATGGGCAAAAGACTTACAGGAACATATTGCCAAAGAGGACACATGGAGGACAATGAGGCACATTAAATGGTGTTCAGCATCATGAGTCATTAGAGAGAAACAAATTAAAGCCATAAAGAAATACAACTAACTACACACCTATCAGAATGGCTAAAATAAAAATGTTGGCAGTGCCAAGTGCGAACAAGGATGCAGAGCAACTGGAACTCATCCACCCACATTGCTGATGGGACTAAAAAATGTCTAACTACCCTGTTAGACAGTTTCTTATAAACACACACTTACCATATGGTCCAACAGTCCCCCTCCTGAGAAGTGAGAGGAAAACTTCTGTTCACAAAAACCTGTACATGTATATAGAGCAGCTGTGATCATAATCATCCCAAACTGGAAACGACTCAAATATGTCCGTCAGTTGAACAGATGTACGGACTGTGGTATATCCATGCAATATAATAAAACTCAATAATAGCAAGGAATGAACAATTGATGCACACAGTAAACTGGATGAATCTCAAAGGTATTATGCTGAGTGAAGGAAGCCAGCCTCAAAAGCTTCCAAGCTGGATGATTCCATTTTAGGAGGGTTAGGGGAGGGGGGAGGGGATGGCAGTAGACAGGAAGCACCAAGGAGTTCTTTGTGGGTGATGGAACTGCTCTGAGCCCTGTTTATGGCGGTGGTTACGTGCATTAAAATTCATAGAACTGTGCATAAAAAAATCAGTTTTCCTGCTTGATAATTAAAAAAACATATTTTTTTAATCATCTAGAATGAGACTGTATTCATTTGGATACCTTGGTATCTTGTAGACCTGCCCTGGCCAGCTCAGTAGCCACTGGCCACACGTGCCCAGGCTGGTCCAACGTGAGGTGTGGAGGAAGTGTAATGTGCTAGACTTAGTACAAAAAACCCACATTTTTTTTCAATATCTCAATAATTTTTATGTTGGTTACATGTTGAAACAATACTATTTGGATAGATAGGGTTAAATAAAACGTGTTATTAAAATTAATTTCACTTCTTTCTTTTTGCTTTTAAAAATATTCCTAGAAAGTTGTAATGACAATGTGTAGCTCGCGCTCTATTTTTATTGGACAGCACTGTTCTGGGTGACACATGAGGGACGAAAGGGGTGGTGGGGGGAGAGCTGGACTTCTTTCTCTCCGTCTCCATGGGTGGGTGTGGGATTGCCCCGCAGGGCTGAACAGGACCCATCAGTCCCCTGTGTTCCCGGCTCTCCCCCCTCCCAGTCTGGCTGAGACGTGACGCCCCTCTCAGTATGGGCTGCGCTGCCTGTCTGTCTGGCTTTTTCTGACCTCTGGAGGAGCCGAGCAAGGTGAGAGCATTTACCAGAGGTGGAGCAGGTGATGGTTGGATGTGGAACAGCACCGGGCTTTGTGAGGCTTGAGATGGAGTTCATTTTAGCCACTAGTTAGCTGTGTAGCTCTGGATCATTCTTAACCCTAGTTTCTTCATGTGTAGAGAATAACAGTTCCCTGGTGTTTCTGCACCTCACAGGGCTGGGGTGAGGACAAACGCACGTGGAAAGACCCAGTGGTCCTTCAGGTGATGATGGTTTTGTGCTGGAACTGCTGCTTGGTGTGGTGGTTGCCCTCTCGCCTCAGCCTCTGGTTTTCCTCCCTCCCTCCATCCCTCCCTCTGTCCCCACTCCGTCCCTCCCTCTGCCCCTCCTCTCTGTCTCTCAGTTGAACTCCGCCGGCACTCTGCCCAGCTTTTCTCCCTGATTCAGCACTGAGAAATGCCGAGGCAAGCATTCCCATGAAGCTGCTTGTCAGCAAACACCCACTCCTGCCTCCAATCCCTGCCGTGTGTCGGAGACGGGCCCGGGCTCCACGCAAGGCCAGGGTTGTGCCAGCTCCCAGGGCTGACTCAACCCCCACGGCCTGCTGCCCAGACACTTCAGCGCTGCGCTCCCAGCCTGTGAGACTGGGAACTGGAGGCCCCCAAACAATGCAACAGTCTGGGGAATAGGCCCTCCAACTGTCTACACAGGTGGCAGCAGTTTTCCTGGATTTAGTTTCAAAGGCATAAAAGCCTTGGTTTCAAGCCTTAGTTAGTACCGGGTCTGCTTTTCTCACTCTCTCTCCTTTGCCTTCAGCTCCACTGAGCTTGTACTGCTTACCTCGTTGCTTGCCTCCTACAGCTCCCTGTCAGCATCAAATACTAGGTATGTACAGTGGAGCTTATCAGCTATATAGATTTTCCTCAGAGATGTTTACAGGTACCTGTCCAGACATGGCATGCATGCGACTCTGTGGAGGAGAAGTTAAACAGACATGAGTGGTCTTTGGAGCTGCCACGTAATGGTGGTCATGACTGCTACCTGGTAGGGTACCTTGACCACCACCAGGATTTTGAGAGCTACAGGGTCCTGTCAGATCCCAAGTCCAGAGGGCTGTGGTTTAAAGGCCCCTGAAGCAGGCCTGGGGTGGGACCTCAGGCCCTCCAAAGAGCCCCATTCCGTGCAGTGTCAGTGTGGCCTGGTGGCCAACCACATGGGTTTTGGAATCTGGCAGCTGTTGGTTGGCATCTGGGCTCTTCTCCTAGGAGCCTCCTGGGTGCAGAACCTAATCTTCCTGGGCCTTGGTTTCCCATCTGTGACCTAGGATCACAAAACTTGTCTCACAGCTTGTTGTGAGATTGTAATGCCAATGTAATAGCCACTGCTGGGTGCCAGGCACCATGCTAGCCGCTCACAGGGGTTTTCAGATTTAATTCTTATAACAACCCCCTGATTCAGGGATTGTGTTTATCTTCATTTTACAGATGAGGAAACTGAGGCTTAGAGAGATTAAATAATATGCCCAAGATCATACAGTTGGCAAATGTGGGAAAGGGGACTTGAATTCTAGCACTCTGTCCCCATGCCACCTGTAGCCGATCTCTATGTCTACGCTCAGGTGGAGACACGGTGGGATGCAGGCAGCCGAGGCCTCCCCAGGGAAGCAGGGAGGTGGCAGGAGTTGAGAGGGATGAGCTAAGGTCTAGGTCTCCAAAGGGTGCTCCATTGTGCAATCGGATGTCACTTACAAAACACGAACTCAACAGTAAAATTCGAGAATTTCAAGAAGGCAACTGTAGAGTGTTAAACCCCAGTTCAGGGCCTTCTGGGCCTGAGGCCCAGTGTGATGGTCAAACACTCATGAAGCTGACACTATTTTAAACGTTTTTTATGGCATATACTTTTCTAAAGTGAGAAGTAAATGCTTACTTTGTGTGTATGTATGTGTGTGGCTCTGGCCTTGTATCGAGTTTGTTAAATTGGGAGTGGACTCAACTACGTGGATGTGTAAACACCTGTCAGCAGCTCAGCCTGTGACTCGGGAAATGAGTGTCTGGGCAAGTCTACTTTACACAGAGTCTCTGCTGTCCCTGCAGTGGGGCTGAAGCCCATACAAGGACTCTGGAGCTTACAGTGCCCTGCCCTGCCCCATTCAGAGAGTGTTTAGTTCAGACCTTCCTTGGGAGGTAGAAGGGTGCTGTGGCTTGTGGCTTTGATTCCAAGGACTCCAAATACTTGGGTTGATGTTCCCCAAGTAGTCTAAATGCTTGGGGTTATTGGTCAAGCTTCTGACGCTGCCATTTTCTAGCCATTTGACCTTGGGCAAATTGCTTAACTCTTTTGGACCTCTGTTTTACCATCTATAAAATGGGTATTTCGTACCCATCTCCTATGACTCTTTGGACATGATAAGTGACAGTGGTGTGAAAAGCACCCAGCCCAGTGCCTGACATTTATCGGCTATTCTGTGAATGTGGACCACTGTTATTACTCCTGAATTTAAAGCAGCTGAATTTAAGAATTGTGTGTGTGTGGGGGCAGTTCATTATCAAACTGGAATAGTACCAGGAATAAGATGAATGAATGAATTCTGAGAATTTTTCTCAGTAGTTGATCATCTAATAATACTTCTTGAGATGTGTTCATTGTTTTGTAGTTTACAAATCCCTTTTTCTTTACACATAATTCCATAATAGCCTCACAAAAGCCCAGCTAAGTATGAAGATCAAGAAATGTATTATCTTGTTTTACAGATTGAAAAGCTAGAGGCTCAGAGATTTACAGCTGCTCATTCATTCAACAGTCGATTTATGAGCACTTACTATGTGTAAGACACGATGTTAGGTTTGGGGATAAAAATGAATAAGTGATTCTTTTCCCTGCCCTTTTGAAGAAATTACTGTGGGCTAGGGCAGGCGAAGCAGGCTTACAGAAGGATGCTGCACTTCAGGCAATGTATTTGTCAGGATTAATCAGGTGATGGTGCAGGAACAGCACCAATAAATTCTGATGGCTTAAAAAAAATGATTTATTTCCTATTCATGCTGTTGGTCCATCC